CCCCCACCTACGCCACCGCCGCCACCGCCGCCGCCACCGTCCGGCCCGCCAAAACGAGTTAGCCGATAACTGCAGTTTTAAACGCGATACGTTTATATATATTTATGTATGTATTGTATTTATTGTGCGTAAACGTACCCCGATAATAACGAGACTATTATTATTATTATTATTTGCTTTGGTGCGTACGGCGACGACGAGTGAACAAAGCGGGGGCCCGAACGAATAATAAATTGTTTTTTAACTCGATAAACATTTATCATCGTGCGGCCCCGGTAATAACGCGCAGTTCGGCCCCGGCACCTTCCTCCCAAATACAATATTGTATATATATATATAAATATACAATATTGTATAGACTCGAGTTGAAAGTCTCGCGGGAAAATAAACTTTAACGGTGGTGGGCGGCGGATTCGAAAATAATGAAACTCGCGGCGCGCGCGCACGCGGAGAAAAAACCAGACCGCATTGCTCGCTGTCGAAGCGTAATTATTATTATTGTATTATGAACACGAGGCTGCGTCGTGAGCGTTCTCGCAGGGGGAGGAGAGGGGAATTTGGGAAATTCCCCGCCCCCCACTCGCGAAACACGGCCCTTGGTTGTACGAAAAATTGAAAAAAAAAAAAAGCCAGACGTACTTCGCACGGTGTAGGTGCGACAAGTGTTGTTGGTGTAAAGTTGAAAACGGGTAGGATGCAGAAGGGACACATTAAGTTCCCTTGTATCATTTGTAAGCAACGAAATTACAAAATTAAACGATTGAATTTCGATTGTTTGAAGTGCATTGTGGTTTAAAGATAAACAGGATAACGGGCACGGGTGCAGCCGCTGTAATAGGTAATTTAATGTATACCTGTAAGCAACGAAAAACCGTTGCTCACGAAAAAACGATTCTGAACGGAGTTCAGTTGATTGTCATGCTTTGTCAATAGTGTATATGTACATATTATACTACGTCAAAATTATTAAATAGGCATTATAATTTTCTTTAATAATATTTATTTAATGTTGTTCCGTTTTTCATGTTTTTCACGTTTTTCCGGTTTTTCACATTTGTCGAGAAAACTCTTAAGAAAATCGAAAAATGACATCTCAAAGTAGGTACCTCCTCAGTTAGATCCTCTTTAAGAAAAAGTGCTATCATTGTACATCAGAGTTAAATTGCTCTTAATTTCTCTAAATTGCGATTGAAAAGTTGTCCACAAAAAAAGAAAATCGTAATATATTGCTAATATAAATCCTACATTTTCCCGTTTATTCTCATTTTTCCCCGTTTATCGGAAAAACAGCTGAGAATATATAAAAAAAAAAAAAAACGACCTCCTTAAAGTACCACCCCGAAAAAATTTCCCTTCAGAAAATGGTTTACATCTTATACGACAGAGTTAGCTCCCTGGTAGAAAAAGTGTTCACATAAAAAAGAAAATAAACATCATCATAAAACCAGTTCAATCCTCCCCACATTCAAAATCTAAAACGTAGATCACAGTCGTCTAGTATTCACATATAATAAATCCTAGTTGGTAGTTCGTGAAGTACGGGCCACCAACTACGTTATTACGTTCGTTATAGTGTGAACGCTTGTCTGTGAGCGGAACTCTTTCCGAGGACTAGACGTCTGACGGAGGAATAAATTGAATGTTCTTTGATTGGTTGTCCTCGGGGTGTAGAGTCACGTTCCCTTAAGCGGTTTCCTTGAACTCGCTCTATTAACGGCGTTGCCTCAAAGGAACTATCTAGGCGCGGTACGGAGGTGACTATATAAGTCCGTTTCATTATGAATAATGCGGGTATTGAGCACCCCAAAAAAAGGAAATAATTTGTACAAAACGGTGGATTGTGCGTGTGCACTGTTCGTAAAACACGTACACGCCTACAACGCGTTTATAAACCGACACTAATATAATAGGCGTACGCATACACAAAAACACGAATTATTTCAATTACCGAATACGGTAGTGTATTGCGCCATTTTATAATACACCGGTTTTAGAAACTACACTCGGGGTGATTTTTTCACCATTTGTTTCAACAACAAAAAAACTCCGGAGAAAATCGTAATAACGACCTCGCTAAAGTTGTCCTGCCCGACGAAACAAAAAGAAAAGATGATCGTCTTTGTAAAACCATAAGCTTCTCTTCGCTCCGCTCAAATTCTAAAAGCCAATTTTTAATCAATAAATAAATCTTTTCCTCGTAACTTGGCTGAAACGCGTGCATTCCGATATTAGATTACTATTATTTTTTGTATTTCGCAGTCAATATGGGGGGGGATGTAACTCCCGCCCGACCACTGCTCTCCTGCGCACGCCACTGATTCGTACGGTACTCGTGTTTATGTAACAGTAATTTTAAAAATTAATTTGATTAATATTCTCTTACTTTTGTTTTCCGTTTGAATACGTATTTAAGATTTTGAGCGCAATGTAGAGTTTTGTTGGTTGTAGAAAGATTTTTCTTACGCCGTGTACGAAAATTTTACCAGAAATCTCGATTCGGGATGCCGAGTATAGCGCCTTTTCCGAAAGGGAATTTTCCCGGGACGGTACGTCGAAAAGGTTATTTTTTTTTTGTTTTTCCGTGAATCGTTCCCGTTGAACGGGAAAATAAAAAACGTGTTAAAACCGGGAAAATATATACCGGTGTCAAACAAATATTATCAAAGAAACTATATAACGTATACCATGTAATTATTTTACCGCGGTGTGACACATAAATTGTTGACAAAACGACACTACCGATCGAACTCCGCGCACAGTCGTTTTTCGTTGGCAATGGTTTTTTTACACGTAAAATATTACGTTAACGCCGTGTGACGATTAATATCGCGGACCGTTTTTAGTGTTATACCTGTACGGTTCGTTTTTTTTTTTTTTTGTAGAAATATATGCTATAGATATTTTTGAAAAATAAATTTAAAAACGTAACTCGCTGCGTTCGCTGCGGTATTGTAAAAATATATGTTTTTTTGCCGTTTGTTTCGAAATACGCCGAATGAGCTCGACTAAAAAAAAAAAAAAATTAAATAAATAAATACTTTATCGAACCGTGTAAAATATTTATTTTCAATTAGTCGAATCAAATGAAAAAACAGCCCTAAACGTTGGACAATCGAACGATAACAACATAACATGCCCGTCTACGGTCCTCGACCGGATCATACGAGTACTGCATTTTGTATAACACTACAACAATATTATATTATAATGCAGTGATCGTTTGTATTGCGCGCAATATTTACTCGTATAAAAAATAACGGAATAGCGATTTTTTTTTTCGCCGAGGTCCTCATCGTACAGTAACGGCCGATAAAACCGTATTGATTTCCCGGCTTTTGTCGAAAATATCGGCGTTAAAACGTTAAATCTCGGTCCGCGCGACGATCATCGTATAGTCACTGTCACTGTCAAGAGCGTTATTTATTTATTTTTTTTTTTTTTTGACTGCGAACATTATGTTTTGTCCGTCAACGGTCCAAAAAATCTACTTGTTTTTATCGATATTCTTTTATAACGTGTACAGAATGTGTTTTCCGGTATTTTCGACGACGTCGTTAACGGTAAACGAAACATTCTCGCGAGATCGATTATAGTTCGCAACGGTTTTACACGTTTCAGATCCCGAGGCGACACCAGAGAGATCTATTGGTTTTACTATTTGGGGTGAGTGTGTGTTTTTTTCTCCCGGTCTGCAAACGACTTTTCCAACAGAAAACCTTGCTTCGACCGAAAAACGAAAAGAGATCATTTCCGTTAAATTTTGGATCTGTTCGGTGCATTAAAGCAACGGTTGTTTTCGGATTTCTTTAGAGAGTTTTAAAAATAATTTCGAAAGACCGGAAAGGAAACTATTGGAAAAACGGCGAATGTCTACGGCGTTATCGATTTCATTGTTTTTAATTTGCACGCCACAGTTTTTTCTACCGTAAATATTGCTTTGATAAAACAATGCTGTTGTTAAACTTCAGATTCTGAATGAATCGAGGAATGTATTGGTTTTACAATGATGTTTATTTTTCGTTCCTGTGAACACCCTTTCTACTACCCTTTCTAATATCGCGCAATTTCACGGTGGCGACTGTTTGTATATTCCTGGTTTTCACTGTTTTAACGCACGCGCAAAAGAGTCGCACCGGACGCAGTCGGCGTGCGCCGGCCGCGCACCGCGGGCCGTTGATACACCGAACGGTACGACGACAGCGGTCGTTCTGTATGCGCTCCTGGTACCGAAAACCTTTATGCCCGTAGTCAAAATCAAAACACGCCTAATACGATGGTATTAGGTATGGAAACGTCAAAAATCCGTAGTCCTGACCTGATTATGAATCCGTAGCGTACGGTGATCCCCAACTCCTGTTATTTTACGTTATTGCGTCCCCATTTCCCTCTGTACGAACGCGATGAACAGAAAAAAAAAACAACTATTCAAATTCGGCGGCCTTGCCCGTGATCTCTTTATCGATATCCCTAATAGAAGGATTTTCATTTCTTTTCCTCTAATTCGTAAATTATACATTTTACTTCGTGATGACTGTCTTTCGCCCCAACAGCAATGTTTACACGTCCCCCTCTCCTCTCCCTCTATCGGGAAACACTGTTGTAATGCGATGTCCTTGCAGCGAGTGATTTTTTTCCGATATTTCGAGCGGTTTTAACGTGATCATCGAGAAAAAACCGGACAAAGACTTGCAGTAAAAACGGATTGATTGTTTTAAATTCGGATAGTTTTATAGCAAAATTTCCGACCGGTTTTCCTGAATTATCGGAGATGAAAAGTAGGAAATAAGGGAAATAAGTGCACACTGGGTTTCGTTGTTTTCGGTCTCGAATCGTCTCAGACTGACGTAACGGACAACACAGACACAACCGCGCGCCGCCACACACCGTGGTCCGCGGATACCGTACGGCGACGGCACCCCGTCTGCGTCGTTCCACATGCGCTCCTGGTACTCAATACCTTTTTGCTCGCAGTGAAAACCGGCATTGTGCCTTTTAACATTTTTACGAGTGTAAGCGATGAAAATGTCGAAAATCCCGATTTTATTCACTAAACGTTTTACTACAGCGTTCATTAAGTTCGTTTTTACTTCGGATACAGAATCGTTTTTTCGTCACTATCGACGGTTTATCGCGTTGGTCGCAGATACAAATCGAATAAC